CCCCCCCCCCCCCCCCCCCCCGTGAGCCCCCCCCCCGTGAGCTGATCCGGAGCTTCTTAGGGCCGGCACTGGAAAGCGAAGACGCAGTCTGTGCCTTTCACCTGCTCTTGTAACACAGCCAAACGGAAGCGATGAGATCTAGGGCCCAGTACAGACCTCGGCAAAGTCCTTCGGCTCCAGCACGAAGCTGAACGTGCCTCAAACAGGAGCAGATGAGCATCCTGTGGTTTGCCCAAAGACACTACGAACGGGCAGAGGATGCGAATGGGCAGAAGCCTCCATCCGCAGTCAGCAGTTCAAAACGGATCGAGGGTATCGGCCTGAGGACATGAACTGAAATGCACTTCTGGCAGCACATCACTCAAAGCAATCACAGAGTTGATCATCAACACATTAGTTCCCTTTTGTCCGCTGGCCACAGAACCCCTCCGTCACTCGAAATCCTGGCTGTTTCGAGCAGTCCCATCTCGGTCGCAAGCGTCGGGCAGGGTTCCAAGCTGAGAGTCGCTCTTCAGACGCTCGCCGACAGTATCGCAGCTCTTCCCCGTCATCTCGCAGCACAGCACTTCAGCCCCAAGGTCGAGCGATCGACCGGTCTTTGCAGCTCTCCGCATCGTGACACTTTCGGCAGCTTGGCTTCGATGCATCGCCTTGGCAGTGCCTATTCAAGGATCCTGCCCGCGATGTGCAGACTCTCTACTTGTTTCAGCCGAGAGGCAGGGAACACCAGCTTGAGGGAGCAGAGGCAGCACTCATATTAGAGGGCGCGGAACAAAGCTTGGTCCAGGTGGGCACTGCCCTGCCAGAGCTTGTCTTTAGGCAATTAATCTCTCAGCTAGACCCCGACCTGTTGCCGAAGCCCAGGAAGATGGCGCCAGCAGCATGGAGGCTGAGTTGTGTGCAGGAGCTTCTGGATCTGAGATCAAGCATGAATCGGCAGCGCACACGCTGGGAGGCCACTACACGTGATCAGCACCAGAGAATCGAGTTGCAACACGAAGTCGGAGTCTCATGCCTCGACACTTGTGCAAGTTATATGGGCGTGCCAAGACAACGCCAGACAGAGAAATGTTCTCAAGATGCAGCGCGCTCTTGAGGCAACCCGGCTGCAGCATGTCCAAGTGGATGTAATCCTTAATCAGCGAGTTGACGGTTTCGAAGGCCTGGTCAAACTCCTCGCGCTCCATGAAGTTCGTATAGTGGTGCACATGCGCTTTCCGCGAATACAGCCGTGAAAAGTCTTTCACCTCAGCACGAGATGCTGCACATCTCATAGGACCATGAAAGAACCACAATGTCTCAAGGAAGTCTTCTCGCGGGCATGCTTTTTCCATATTGATGGCAGGAGGCAGTGTGACTGAACATCTGGTGCGCCGCACAGGTGTTCCCCAAATGAAGCACTGAGTACGGAAGTCCTCGAGGAGCGACTTTGCACAGGCCGATCCTCCCACTGCGGGTCGCGAAGATGCTGGATGCGGTGCAGAAGCGAAAACAATGTAAGCGAAGCGACTTGAAGGCATCTTCGTTAAACGGCAAGAGCTTCAGCTTCTTCCGGAGCTGACCGATGTTGCCTCTGGTGTGCAGGCCAAGTCGGAGCTGCTAGACCAACTAAGTGCAAAAGCCATTGGCTTATATCTCTTTTTCTTCAAGCCACGATTCACGTCCGCAATCGATGCGGAACCGCGAACCAAGAAAGCTAGCGCCATGTATGTGCTTCCCCTGGCGTCAGCTGGCGATGAGCTTCTGGCTTTATCGTACTCTATACTCTCTGTAATATCTCTGACAGTGATATGAATGAGTTTCGGAAGACCTGTGGCATCTCAGCCGAGCGCTCAGAGTCAGCAACTGAGATTTGTTGACATCTGCTGCATAGTTAGGTCGAGATCCGAACACACTTCGATGGTTGGTGCTTGGTGTGTCCACACTGTAGCTCAAGGTCATGAGTCATAAGGCTCCACTATGAATCTCGCTGGGCATCTCGGTGTCTCCATCAAAGGACCTGGCCTCGGATCGACATTCATCAGCTGATGGCCCTGCGTGACCACATCCGAGAACATCTGGTGGAAGCCTCTTCACTTCAGGCAAGCCCAATTCACATGGTGACAGGTCGGTTTTGCGGTGCCAACACCGCGGCCACGTTTCAGCACCCGACCTCTGGAAACAAGCCGGGGGTCTTTGCCGAAGTATAGCGGGCTCATCGATGCCAGCAAGAAGTGCATTCGTGGAAACGGCACCAAATTCATTGTGATTTCGTTCAAGTCCAGGTTGAGAGATCCCTCGAATCGCATCGAACTCGTCAGGTTGTTCAGCAGGTGGGCCACTAGAGAGTTCATTCTGTCGAAGGGCCGTTCGGCGCCCGCGGAACGCGGTCGCCTGACACTTTCGGGCGAAGAGTTGCCCGCTGGGCATCGACTCTGCAGAAACCTGCAGTCCCCGAAGCCTCTCCCCTGCAGATCGTGGCACTGGAGCTTCGTGAAGCATCGCTGCTTCCACAACCGCCTCCGCGTCCCTTCGGCAGCGAGGCCGTGAAATGCATGTTATGGGTACCACAGCAACACTGGAGGCAAATGGGCTCAGCAAACGACGGCACCGACACGGGGCGAGCCTTTTCCTGGGAGGTGCAGAAGCTGTCCTCGAAGTTCTGCTGGGGCGCGGAGGGCCTAGGTACAGCTCCGATCTTGCTTCCTGCTGCATTATGAGCCTCCGATCATCCAGGGTGTGAATCATGTGGAACTTTCGGGGTGTGGCATTACTCACGTGCCGTTGACTCGGCGCCCTTCCATCTCGAGTCGTGTCACACGGACGAGGCACGAGACAGCTTCAGGCGAGGCTCAGGAATCCTTCTACGAACTGTAAATACCCGAAAGCGAGACAAAACCGATCAAAAATCACATTGCACCGATTGGCGGCGACCGCCTTGACGCTCATCTTGTGGCAGGTCGATGAGAGTGGCCTGTGCTGCATCTTCCCCGGCATCGCGCACGGAGATTTGGTTACAGATGCCAGCGAGGGCATCGTTCGATGTTGGCAGCACGCAATGAGCGGCTTCAATGAGCGGGCGCATGGCAAGGATCGTGTTGTAGGGTGATGTCACCACATCGTCATCTCTGGATGGACAAACGCAGGACACGAATCGGAAGACCTCGGGCATGTAGTCTTCCAAGGCCTCCAAGATGTAGGTTCCCAAGCCGCTTCCGGTGCCACCACCGAGAGAGTGTAGCAGGAGAAAGCATTGCAACGAGTCGCAATGCTCTGCAGCCTTTCTAACTTTCTCCTCGATGCTTTCACGATAGGTTGGCCCGTAGACATGGTAGCCATGCGCCCAGTTGTTTCCGGCACCTGAAACATCAGTAATTCTCTGACGGGCATCAAAGAGGTCGGCCAATGGCCCCGTCAAGAGCGAGTTTACGACACCCTCCTCCATATCCACCAGAAGACACCGGGCCTTCAACGTCCGTATCTGATCTCCAACGGGAAGGCTCGGCAGGTTCGCGTGTCTTGTGTCCACATTGCGAAAGAAAGAAGACAAAGCTGCATCGTAGACCGCAGTCTTTGACACGAAAGCATGTTCACGCAAGACCTTAGTCGGCAAAGCACCGATCCACTTGCGCCAATGGGCTCTCAGGAAAGTCTGGAAGTCTCGATGTGGCGAAGTGCTAAATCCCAGAATCGGCAGCCGATCTGATTGCCGCATTGGCCCACCTTCCGTAAAGTTGCACAGGAATGTACACAACCACATTTCAGCCGTGTATGTCATTGGAAAAGCTGAAAGCATCAATTCAACCACTACAGTAGCTGGAGGCCTGGATGGTAAGAACCTCCCTGGGCATGCGGCCCAGTGCACCACAACCGGATCATGGCACGCTTTCTCTCCCCCTCCCTCCGCTCCTAGATCCTGGAGGCTTGAAATGCATCTCAGATGAAGAAGCTGCAAACCACCTGCCTGATTGCAAAGCCGTGAGAGGCCGTGCCGAATCCGTGCCGCAACTCGCAGCGCATTCCACTGCGCTCGGTTTGCTGACTGCTCGCAGACTGCTCGCAGCAGCCTATTCTGCAGCTACCCGCAGCAATTCAGCTGCACGCTCTGTGTACATGCCCAAGGTGAAACCATAGCTGCCAGCTTCAATCTCACCCGAAAAGCTCTGCAACCTGCAGCGTTACAAGACACAAGGCCGGCTCATGCTACAGCTTAGAGCGAGACGGACCCCTCAGGCCAGAACTCCTCCACATACCCCATCTCCAGCATCTCGTCCCATGCCCGGCGGACATCATCCAGGAATGTATCATCAAGCAGGATGCGGTTGTTTTTCAGATTCGCAAGGGCCGCCAAGTTCTTCAGGTCCCGGATAGCACAGTCGTAACTGTGGCCACCGTCTATGAAGATCAACTCACACCTGGGATACAAGTGCTGCTCATGTAGAGACAGAACACAGTTGAAAGGAGGAGGAGGAGGAGGGGAAGCTGAGCATGGAGCTGGACCCCAGGCTTCTGTCTGTGAAACTCCGGCACCGTTGCCAAGGAGTCACCCCATATCAGCTCCAGCCGCCTCAGGAGAAGTGCAGGAAGAACTGCCGAAGAAACCGCACAAGGCTGAGCTGCGTTCTTTGCAACTCTTTCCTCTGAACTTGCAGCGGAGTTGCTCTGGAAATTGGCTCGATAGCCACATGGCAGCCGGTCGTGAGTAAGGGTGATCTCCGAGATCGAACGAGAGCACCTCTAGCTCCAGGCCATGGACAAGCGATTCGCAAGCAGAGAGCGAGAAAAACGGCCTTCGCACTGGAATATGTCAACCACCGCAGCGCGCTGTGGCCACCATTGAAGCCAACTTCGCAAATGGTCCTCACGCCCTCCCCGGCAGCAAGCCTCGGTGACCGAAGGCTAAGTGTGCGAGGGCCCGGTCTGTGAAACAACTCGACGTTTTCTGTATGAATGGAAACGACATGACTTTCTCGGCCACGGTGTTGCCAGCGCAGCCGTGTTGCCCATTCATGACTTCGATAGCCTCCGGCACCATGTTTGTGTGACCTCAAAGATAGGCGCCTTTGAAATCCTACAAAAGGCACTGCACTGAACGGACACTGAACAAAGGTGTGCCTTCGATTTCACGGTCCGGATGCCAGATGTGGGCAATGGAGCCTTTTGGTAATGGCTTGTCAGTGAGACGCATGGACCAGGCAACCACTGCATCCAGTCCTGCAACACAAGGACACACCTGCATGCCATGAAAGACGCAACAAACAGCTTCTGGGCCTTCCGTCAGGTCATCTTCAGTCACACCTTGCCGTGGTGCCCGTTTAGTAGCCAGTGGCGGCGACAGCCAGTAACCTCCTGAGCATAAACATCAACCAATCTATCGGCATGACACCTCGCACCAAGTACTTTTTTCTTTGGAAAACCTTACTTGAATTTTGCACAGTCACGTAAATTCTGGGTCGCTGCAAAGAGTCTGTTTGTAACGTCCTGCAACATCGACTGCTGACTGTTCCATTTCACGACAGCACGAAGGTGAGCATATGCTCTACGACCAGCAAAGCTTGGTCGAAACTTCCATGAGAGCCCCGCACGATGCCTTGCAGTGCTGACGACACTCCACACATTTTCCGAGTGAAAGAGCCGCTAGCCAGCGGCCCCCCCCCTCCCGGCCCATCTCGCCGTCCCTGCGAACGACAGCACTCGCTAAGTTGAAGCGCCAAGCACAAATGAACATGGCTCGCAAGGCTACTGCCACCAAGCTGCCCTCTGCATTCCCAAACGTAGCCGGAATATCCCCAAATTACATGAAGCTCCCGGCTTGATGCAATGTTTCGCTTACAGTTTCAACATGTAGCAAAGTAGCAAGATCTGGAAACCATAGCATCATTCATCATCCAGTTTAGCCTGTATGTGTCATTTGATTGCCATTCGAGCTTGCAGTTGTCAAGGGCTTGACAGTCAAGCTTCGCTTCTGCGGCTTGTAGCTCCGGTGAGTCCGAAATCTCGGAAAATGCGAAGACAAGAAACATATCAATCGACAACTTGCAATCCAGCCAAAACAACAGAACAACGAACAACGTATGCGACCCAAGATCATGCCTTGCCAGAACACGACAAGGCACGAAGTCGGTGTTTTTGCGTGCAGCACAACTGCAATCAAGCAGTACTGGGAGAGCAGTTGCAAGTGCCAGAGAAATGCTGGACACATAGTTGAAACATGTCACAGAAATAGCACTGTCAAGCAAATCCGGCGGCTGAGTGACGCTCGGCAAGAGATGGGTGGTCGGAATAGTTTTTCTAACGTGTTCCTGAGGAGGGACGTTATGTTACTATTCCAAGACGTGGGGGACGCTTCGAGTAGTCAACCGAAACCCATGTCCGCAACCCCGGGTAACTTGGTCCTGTTCGGGCCCGGGGGAATGGGGCTTTCTGTATGTTTGACATCTGTTCTGCTGTATTTTGCGTGCGGTGCTTGCTGGCTGTCCGTCGTCTTTCGGCCAAGAATTTCGGAGTTGCAACCCCAACGCCTACGAAGGGAGGGTTTTGCCCCTAACCCTAAATCCCGAAAACCCAAACCCAGGAACCTAGAAAAAAAAAACAAAGAAAGGACTCTGACTTTGAACCCGAAACCCTCAACCCAGAATAGAAACCCTAAATCTAGAGACCCTAAACCCCTTTATCCACGACTCTGAACCTAGAAACCCAAATCCAAAAACCCTCAACCCAGCCAACTTCAGACGCAGGTTGCCTCTCGCCGGACCCGGGTTGCCAGATGCCCAACATTATTCCACACCCCCCCTCCAGGTCCTCTTGAACACATGCGTCATAAACATTATCATTCCTCGAAAACCGCGACGTAAATGCCCCTCTGGAATACTCACCCAAGACACCACACATGTTTCTTGAACAACCCCCCAAGGTCTGCTCAGCATCACACGAAGCGAATATAAGCGAATGATATGGGCTTCTTACCAGCCCGTTTCTGCGCAACCGCTTGGTTGTTTGTCTTGCATGATGTCAAGGAAGGCATCCTCTCCGAAATGCGTCGAGGAAAAACGTCCCACAAGTTGGCAGTCCAAGCGCCACCGCAATGGCGTGCATGTCCTGAGAGGCGCATGCAGCATAGAGCGCTGGAGAAGTTAGACAATGAACAGGCCACGTAGCTGTCTGTCTGCTCTTTCTGTGCCCTGCCGCCCCAGTGGTCCTCAACGCTTTTCTAGCACCGGCCGCCGTGATGAAATACGCTGGACCGATTCGAAACCTGGGCAGCTCATCAGTTCACGGTGCAATACTTGTCGCCTGAGAAAGGATGAACTCCGACGCCCTGAAACAAGGCCCCTGCTCCTTCAAGCCGCACAGGAGGATAAGTGTCTCTGCCAAGGAACCACGGGTGAAGGCGCTTTAAGCCAGGTGCGACGTTGTGCGCTTGTACTTGCTCGAGATCCTTAGCTTGTGTCGGGAAGACCTGTGCCCAGGAGCACTTCGGTCTACGTCGTAACGACAGATAAAGACAGGCTACCGTGTCGGGGTTGTTGCCCAGGAGATCCGTCCCGGCCAGACACGCGATCTCCCAATCATCCGGCAGGCTTTGCAACCGCTCTTCGAGCCTCTGGCACTATGATGCTGTAGGTATCCCCTTGCACATATGTAAACTCTGATGCCGGGAGAGTGCTGGGGAGAGTGTATCTCTTGATTTTTTGGCCTAAGCTTCAGGCAGTCGCGCATCCAAGTTGGGCAGGAACACGCAGGTCTCCTGGGTCCCGTCTCCGGGCACGCGGACCGCAGCAACCCTGTAACCTCGCCTCAACGACCAAATAGACGGCGTTGGGGCTTTTGGCCTCTCGCTCGATGTCTGCCCAAACCTAGAGGAGCCGCAGCAGAGCAGTCGCTCACAGGGAGATGCGACCCATTTTGCCTGTGTGTGCCTGCAGTTGCGAAAGTCCCTGTCCCAAGCTGCCTCGCGTTAGGTCCAGGTCCCTGAGCCAGCCTTCCATGATGCCACCAATAGCAAGGACCGATGAAGACCTGTTGTGCAATCGCCTCCATGCTTCTTTCCTGGGGCCTCCCTGCCCCTACGCACATGGCGCCATCTTCTGGTCTCGCGCCACATCTTGCGCCAATCTTCCTTTACGAGGATACCTGGTCCCCGTCCATTCCAAGCAGCCATGCAACGACTGAGTTCCAAAGCTGCACTGAAAAGCCCAAGGCTCGTGGCAAGGCTGCAGGTTCCACTACTCCAGAGTCCACGATTTCGAGGATGTCATCCTCACCAGCTCGACTCAGTGTGAAAAGAGCACGGGATTTCACACACCTGCCTGCAAGTTGAAGCCGTCCACGGCCTCCCACTGGCGGATGGGAACCTCGGCGATGGTAAGCTTTAATACAGCAAGGATATGCCATGCAACATGCAAATCACTCAAAATGCTCAAAACAGGTTGCTATGGTCAGAAAGCTGACGTGATCAGGAAGGCTCAGCCGGCCTAGGGCCTTGTCAAGCTCTGCACGCCGCCGCCGCCGAATGCAGTACACTGCTTGTAAATCTTTGAGCCTGGTCAAAAGCTGCCAACCTGTCGCGATCGCTGTACGGCCTCCGATTGCCGCTGAGACCATCGCAGCGCCCCCGTGGCAGCAAAGGTTCGCGTGCAAACGGCCCAAGCCTGGCTTGGATGAAGAACCCAAAGGGCACTGCATAGGGCTCCCGCATGCTCCAGCCCTCAAGAAAGCTGAGGTTCCGGCGGCAAGGAGCACAGGAACTGCTAACAAACTCCCGGGCGTGCCAGCCGCTCGTCTGGCGAAACTGTCACATTCAGCATGGCCGTGAGAGACACTGCAACAAGCCTGGGCCGACACCCAGACACCAATCGCTCCATCCGTCGGCAACCATGGGAGTTCAGCGACGAGGTTTTGCTACATGCTCAGGTGTTGCTAACGAGTAGTGTGCAGCAGTAGAAGCGCCGGGTCTGCATCTGCGGCCCTCTATACCCTGAAACCAACTTTGGGGTGAAGCTGTGCATTGCACGGTTTGCGTTCCACTTCAACTTGCGTGACAGGATTCCACAGCTTGGACGGCGCAGCAACATCACAACGAGAATCTCTAAGAAGATTCCCGAACAGCTCGTTGGGCACTGGCTGTTTGCAGTCTCCCAAAGCAGTGAGCAGCTGCCCGACCTGTGCTTCCGGCTCCAGCGCATGCTGCAACCATGACTATAACATTTGGATTGAAGGCTCCAGCTGCACGTCGGGGACCCATCATCAGAGCTGTCCCAGTGTCCATGGCTACCTTGAAAGTTGCATGGCCAAGCAAGGCGGAAGATAATGCTCGACACCCTGCCTGGCACCCAGCAGCAGCGCACAAGTTAAGCGCTTTGTCTTCCACCTGGATGGTCCACCAGGGCCGAGCTTCGGGAGATATCTGGATCGGTGTTGCGCAGCAGCTCAAGGACTCGATAAATCGTGCAAGTTCTCGCTGATTGCAGCAAGCTTCGGGAGCTTACGTAGCACTTCGTGTCTACGCCGCCGAACAACGTGCCATCCAACTCGTCTGCTAACCCAATTTCAAGAGCCCCTCCAATAACTCATAGTACTGCAGCAAAAAGGCCCGCCGCGGGGGGCGGGGGGGGGGGGAGGGGCTTAAACACGAATTTTCCTTCCTAAGGCTTCCTCGTATTGTATCGTTACCCCGGTGGTTTGCCTGCCGTGGGGTGCAATGAAGCTTCCCCTTCTGATTCCTCGTTGCTTCGGAACAACGACGGCCTTAGACCTTGCTCGGCCAGCTAGCACGACGGCACGCAACATCACGTGGCTTATGCGGGAGGGACGAAGTGTGACGCCAAAACACTGGACAGGCACCTGCCAACAAGCTGGGCAGCAAGCATCCAGTATGATTCACTTTGACGAGCTGGTCTTGTGACATCTTGCGTAAAGACTTAGCGACTTCTTCCAAGGACGTCTAGGGTGACTCCGGGAGAAATGTCGCTCTCGCCAGATGCGTTGAGCCAATACACGCACTTGGGCCAGAGTCGTCCACAACTACCAAATATCAGCCGAGGACGGGATGGCGGTGTGGAATCCAGCCAAGCTTCCGGTGTTGAGTGTTGAGCAGGTTTCACCTTTCGGATGCTGCAGCTGCGCCTCCCTGGGGCCTTTGGGCGCTCGCTCTTCGAATCTAAAGTTCAATTGTCGGCCAGCGCTGTGCAATGTCAACAGCGACGAGGAAGTGCACAACTTTGGCCGATTATTTTGGGCAGCCTGCCTAGAGGCTGTCCTTAGTTCGTTTCGACGAGAGTTTAACAGACCCGCAGCCAGCGGCCGGCAGCTGCTCGTGCTTAGACGTTGTGAGAGAAATACGCCACGCACCTTCGAAAACACCGGATCACATGTTTGCCCACACTCGTCTGCGCACGAAACCCCGAAGCTTGAGCTGAGGTCGGAAAGTCGAGGCAGCATCAGGGCCTGACCCATGTATGCCTTTTGCGCAGGCCGAGGCAGAACATCGTCATGTTCACAAAAGGCAATCGGGTTCGAGATGCGGTTAAAGGCTCGAGGATTAAACTTGGCTCCATCCTATTTTTTGATGCTCACAGTCGGATGAATCCAGGCGAAGTCTGCAAACAAACAGGCAAGACATCAAGACACAGAAGATGTGCAAAGAGTATCATCCACGCAAACGCTGGTTCGGCCGCGCGCAAGGCTGTCAAACCGGGCTGGAATACAAGCACAACCACAATAGCCACCCGATACGGAAAGCCCGAATGACAGCTGAGGCCAGCTCATAAATGTCACGCATTGCCACCTCAGCTGTGAATGGCAAGAAGTGCTGATGGATGCACTTGCTTCCAACCCTGTCAGTGAGTGTAGGACAAGCCAATAGCCTTTTTCGTCTGCCTCTTGTTTTGGGACCTGTGGCCAAACATCTTCAGGTTTGCAGCCGGCCAGCACTGGCAGCTGACAGAAATTGAAACTCGGCCAAGCACGGGCAGCCACGTTACCTCTCCTTCTAAGCGGTCCTTGCGATGCCTGCAGAACGTGCTTGACTTCGTTTGTCATGGCAAGCTTGCCGGTAGGACCCTCCGAAGGTGATCTCGCTGTCTTCCTCGGCCTTACTACGGTCGACACTGGTCATCAGAGCAACATCGAATCGCTAGGCCCCGCACATCCAAATTCCGCAGAAAAAAAGCAAACGTGGGATTCCGGACTGTCTGCGGCGCAGCCTTCAGCATGACGCATCAGGACACCGTGGGAAATGCACCGACCCACGCTGGCAGCCCGCCACCAAGCTGTTCACGAAGTTGAACGAAGGCCCAGCCTTTTCAAAAAGCTTTTTGCAAACATTGCCAGGAAATGGTCGACCGAGCGTAGCACGGAGAGTCCTCCCAATCCCAAGCCGAAGATACCATCAAAAGGTAGCTCCGTGAATGGAAACCTGGACTCCTGCAGCAGGCATGTCCTCCCCATGCTACATCGATCCAGATTTCTTTCAGGGTTCCAACTTCGCAATTCAGGCTTTGCTGCTGTTGTTGAAACGGGATGCTGCTACAAGGGAATGCACAAACCTAAAGCCGAAGAACACCGGCAAACGACACGCGGCCGTGAAGTGTTGTGCAAAGTAACTACAAAATGTGAGCACCGATCGAGCCCATCGCGCAACCCGCCAACCGAACCGATACATCTCCTGTGTCACACCCAGGAAGTCGACTTGAAGGCCTCGGTACTAGGACGAAGCACAGACATACCTGAGATGAATCTCCAATCTCCAAGCCCCGCACAAAGAGAGCTCTCAGCCACGGCCGCCCCTCGACCTGGCGGATGCTGCGGAGATGAGTGGCATCTGTGACAACCAGCTCGGAGTGCAACGAGCAATCAACCCAAAAACTCAGCCTTTGCGCAAGCACAGCATGTCCCGGATGTACTCACCGGTCAATTTTCCAGTGCCTCTCGAATGCAAGAATTGCACTCAAAAGTCTTTATCGCCCTGCTCTCATTTCATCTGTTCATGCCCCTTCCAGGTGTGCTGCCATAGGTTATTGTCGTGGTGTCGCGTTCCTCGGAATGCACTTGCCCGCGACGAGCGGATGGTAAATAGTTGAGGGCTGGTTAGCTGCCACTCGCGAGCGGCTCTGAGTTCCGGACGTCGCCAGGACGCAGGGGTGTGCCATCTTCCAAAGCCAACTGGCGAGCCGTGCCTCAGAGGTTCATTCCTTACGAACGCTTACGAGGAAATGTGCCCTATGCTTTGCCGGCCCACATCAACCGCCGCAACCAGGACAAAATTTCAGGCAAGCTTTTTCGTCAACAAAGAAGCCCAAGATGGATGTAGGGCCAGGGACGTTGTGCCACCAGCATCCACAATTGGTGAGAATGAGGAAACGAGGACCACGAGGCAGCCCATTGATGTGGCTGCTTGAACTCTAGCAAATGAAACAGTTTGCAAACGCGCAGTTTACAGTAAGTCGAGGAGTGCCACAGACAGGAAGCATAAAGACATCTACCAATCATCGTCTCGGTCAGGTGTCGGCCGAGACCTCAGCGATGACAGTGCTTGCTTTCATCACCCCGGTCCATGCCGTACACATGCAAGACAAGGGGCTTCCTCTCTGCATCCCGCTTCCGCTGGGCAAGCAACTTGCGCTTCTCAATGAATGGATCACCGAATGGCCAGTGCCTTGCACCAAAGCACCGGGGTGCGAGGAGTTCGTTGTCTTGTGTCTGGGCGTGTTCCACGTCCTGAGCCCCGGACTTGAATCGCTCCGGAAAATACTTCCTGGGGTGTGCAGAGCGGATTTGGTGCGTGCTACTTGCAATGACCCGCAACGGACAAAGCACCCAATAGCTGCTGCCCTGCCACACGCTGGCAACTATCCCAAGAAAAAGGTGAACTCACTCGCCATGTCAGTTATCGCTACTTGCATCACCTTTGCTGCCGAGAGTCCGCTCCACCTCCTCGCGCAATGACTTTTCTTCACGCTCGGACTCCTCGCTGTCATCTTCTGGCTTCTTCAGGTCCGCCCCTTCGTCGTAGGCGTGGCGCTTGGCGGGATCGGACAAGGTCTCGTAGGCAGTGGCGATCCTTTGGAAGTCCCTTGTGGAACCACCCTGCTTGTCCGGGTGGTACTTCAAGCTCATGAGTCTGTACGCACGTTTCAGCTGCTGGTCTGTAGCATCAGCAGAGACGCCGAGAATGGCATAGAGGTCGGAACCTACCTCAGGTGTGCCGGTAGTTTCTGCAGTCTCCCGGGAACGTCGGCCTCGTTTCCATGATGCCTTGAACGTGTCCTTGTTATCCAACCGCTTGGCCAAAGCATGTGCGCGAACCAGCCAGTCGCAAAGGTTTGGCCATGACCTGTCAACCCTGAGAAGTCCTTCCAGTGATTTTACTGCTTCGGATGGGCGACCTGCCTCGATCAAGCAGGCTGCGCGCCGGAACAGCGCCCTAGCGTAGTTCGGGAAGAGCGCCAGCGCTGCGTCGCAGTCATCCACAGCCTGACGGAACTCGCGCGCACGACGATGGCAGGCAGCCCTGGCTGCATGTAGCATGGCTCGGCCCCACTTGTCATCAGTGGGGCTCTGTATGATGGCCTCCCCGTAGCGTGCAGCAGCTGTTTGGAAGTCACCATAGCCGTAGGCATCCTCTGCTGCCAGCTTGCAGCGCTCGACCTTTGCAAGCGCCTGCAGTCGCATGGTGGCACCTTGGAGTCCCCAACTCCCATCGGCCCCTGACCCACCAGATTGCTCCGCCATCGACAGATATTTCTTGCCATGCTCACGCCGACCTATGCGAAGCAAGCATCGTCCTGCCCAAAGAAGGCTGGCTGCAGCATGCGGGTGCCGACGGACGCACGCCTCGGCCTCTAGGGCAGCTTGTGCTTCTTGCCTGCTACAAAGCAATGCCCTGACCAATGTAAGTCGCAAACGCAATGCGTCCGAGCCCTCAGAGGGAGACTTGCATGCTGCGGGCAGAGGCCATGCAAGCCCGGCTTCCCGAGCCAAGCGACGATGCTCGTCACTTAGAACCTGTCGCAAAGCAGCTATCCCCGCCTCAGAGCTCTTCATGGACTGTTGGCTTGCAGCATTTGTGGCAGCATGAGCTGCTCTTGTGCCGAGCAAACCATTCTCTACAAGTACATGCGGAGGAAAGGGTCCCGATCCTGGAGCCATGCTGTCAACTGACGCGAAATCCAGCATCAGCTTCTCGTAGGCCTCTTGCGACTCGAGGAGCGCATCTGGTGCATCTGGGAGATCACGTTGGGCCGCTCGTAAAGCTGCTGACAAGATTTCTCCCGGCTTCAGGCTCTGCAAACAAGCTGCACTGGCTGAGGGAGCTCCAATCAGCCCCAAGGTGCATGGAGTCAATCCGAGGATTCTGGCACAATAACTCTGTTCGGATTCCTTCGGTCCTCTGATGGCTCTCAGATTTGAGGGCTTGACTGCCAACTTGATCTGAGGGCCATCGGAGAGTTGCACCAAACAGCGGCCATCGTCACGAGGCAGCTTGCAGATTATGCAAGGCTGGCCATTCTTGCTGGATTCTGTGAGGCCCTGCAAGATGCACATGCCACCAACGACCAGCTCGGTGGGTCCCTCCAGGATTTTAGGCGAATGCTCGTCTTTGTCTTCGAAGCCCTTCATGTCCACATCAGCCCCCAGCCCACCATCACTCGGAGCCTGGTAGTCGGGCGCTTGTAAGCGAGGCTCAAAAGGCCGGTCGAACTTCTCCGCCTGCGGGTCATTCTCCACCGGTGCCTTCAAGCAACCCACATCGGAGTCCCGAACTGCCTCCAACAATGCTTTTCCGTCCTTCTCCTTTAAGCAAACCCACTGATCACCTTGCTCCTCCGAATCACTCTCTGTCAACCGACGTGATTGTGCGAGGTGGAGCCAGCAGCCCTCAATTTCTGCGCCGCACACATATTGACCACATCCTCGCTGCCCACATGATTTTGCGGAACTCCTGGGCTGCGTTCTCAAGATGACACCTGCGCAGAGCGTCAATGAGACCCATCGACGGACATCCCTCAAGGATTACTCTACGGCCGCTTGCCTAGATGATGGAGAATGGGCCGACCGCCACTGTTACGAGCATTGTGGTTTCGCAGTTGGGAGTTTGGACTTTGGACTGTGTTCAGCCTCCAGGCGCAACGACCCTGTAGACCCAGCAGCGCGGCTGTTGGCAACAATACTCCAGTGTGTGGGGAGCTGGCTTTGGAAGGTTCGTACCGGCCCTGGCTGCGGCCACCGTCCTTTCATAGCGGCGGTAGCTGTAACGCAGGTCTCGGATGACGCTGCCATCCAGCACGGCGATCACTTGCCAAGGGAGCTCATCCTCGTCGTCTTTCACCGGCTCCATGATCGCCCTGCATTCGCTCGGGGGCACCTTGTGACCAACACGTGTGTCCACAGCAGGGGTGATCTTCAATGACTCTTCTAACTCATCTGCCGTCTCGAAGTCTGCATTGTCTTCCAAACACTCGTGCCAGTAAAGCTGAGGAAGAGTGGTGTCCACCTTCGAGCTGTTGACCTCCCGATGAAGGTGCCACCATCGTAGGCCCGCTCCTGGAATGATGGTGTCACCCTTGTGGGCGAATCTCTCGCGACCTAAAGGATCCATGAAGATCCATTCGAACTTCTCGTTGTAGGCATCGTCTGAATCTGAGGAATCAGGCAGAACTCCTGCAGGGAGGCGGGACTTGTCCAAGTGTCGGCGACGCCGAAGGTTCGCCGACTGTGGTGGTGCTTTCACGAGTGCCATGGTCCAACCACTGCTGTCATTGCGATATGCCACCTGGACCTGTCGTCGAATTTTGAGATTGTCCGGTCGGATGGCAGCATAAATTCCATTCATGTCATCGATGTTCGAACCTGCTATGAAGAATCCTTTGGCAGGTTCACGAACTGTCACATAGCCACGGGTTTTGGGACGGGACCTTCCTCCAGAATAAGGCGCCAAGGCATCTTGTCGAGCGAGGTGCATCACGCATGCAGGACAAGTGGCCGCGTTTTCTTGCGTAAGTACTTACCTACTTTCATACCACTCATGTGATTTAAGGTGTCTGTGTAGACGCATGAACATGGCGCAGGATCCAAAAACAAGTTGTTGAGTGCTGCCATCGTCTCCGTGCGCACACACACTCACAGGGACACACGTTCACACATTTCTCGGATGTGGAACTTGCGAGCCAAAGTCGCACGAAGAAGCGTCGTTCTTCAAACAGAAATGCACACTTCTACTGTCTCTTGCGCTGCCATCTTCCCGCACCTATACCAGAAGTAAACGATGGCACACAAACCGTGACACCAGGGATGTTGCGAGAAGCGCCGCTCGAAAAGCGGTGATGGTCTTCACATGCCTGGCCCATGGTGTGCACTGCTTCCAATACCGCCGGGTGAATTTTGTCGTGGCACATGCCTCGTCAATGCACTTGAGTGTTGGTAGCACCTATCAAGCTTTTTCATCCCATTATCCCAACCCCCTGTCAATTCAGCTGAGGAGGTAGCGATGTTACCGGAACCGGTGTCGAATACCACGTCAAAATCCTTCACTGTGTTCTACCAAACATTCATACTGTTCAATGAGCTGACGACAATGCTAAGTCCTGGGGTGGGCTACCCATGGAAACGGTGCCATAATACTCGCTGACGCGCAGCCTGGTCAAAGCCACTTGCATGCGCGATGCCCGAGACCAAACAGACATATCGGCGCACGGTAGATGGCCATGACCGTTCTGCGTTGGCCGCTCGTACAGAGAGATGTACCTGACAACAAGCTTCTGTGCTGCCTTACATGTGTTGTGTGTTGCGTGTGTCTCTTATGTGTCTTCCATGCCTTGTGCGTTTTGCGATGGCTATGTGCATTCTCTCTCTCCGTCTGCCGTTGGGTTAAAAGCTACTATATTGAACGCTGTGTGTTGCTTGCATTTTGTTGCTTTTTATGTTGTTTGGTTTCTTGTCTTTTGGTTTGGGATATTGATTGTCTTGGTCATGGTTTCGTTGTTTTGTGGTTTGCTTCCTGTTACTTTGGAACCAATACTGTTTGTTGCTCCACCAGAAACCAACAAAACGCAGCGTGCAGCTTACGGCCTTTGACCGAAGCACACAACCGGCCCTCTTTCAGCATGTGGCTTGTGATTGTTAGGGACCCCCCGTCCGCAGCATGAGTGGAAGGCCAGGGTTTGTCTAGCTGCTGCGC